CTGTCAAGGTACCAAGCCTTAAGACAGTTTTCACTTGTAAAAGTATGAAAATGGCTATGTCAACATCTAAAATTTAAGTCAACTGTCACTGTAAAATTCCACCCAAAGTTAGCACAGAATACATGAAGATAATTCCTGGCAGAGGGCAATTTTCATCCACTGCCTTGCTCTCTGTCCTAACAACTCCTTCTATTTTTCTTACTTCCTGTTGTCACTGCCTCTCACATCTGCCAATTACAAAGCCATCACAAACTCCTAAACTGTTAATGAGATGCTGGATCGCTAATATTCTACTTTATAAACTCAAATATTCCGAAAACAGCAACTGAGACCTGAACAGAAATAGGAATGATATACATGCCTTTTTAATATGATTGGTAATAAAATGATGAATTAAACTGACTAAATAGATTGTTGCACAAATACAGCTCAGTATGCAGGCTTAAGGTTTAAAAAGCAGGAGATAAATACATAGTCCAAGCAAGAAAAAAGTATGCATAGCGCTTCTGAGACTACTTAATTGTGTACAGATTTTTGTTGTTGTAATTTAGCTGGATTCCAACTTTTCTAAATAAATCATTTGCTTACCTATTAAGCAAATGTATAACAGAAAAACAGGGAGGTAACAAATACCAACATATTCTTTTTAAAGGAAAATGTTCAAACTGTTTTAACTGATGAATATACATGAAGATGTTCCATTCAGTTATTTGTTTGATTTTGCTTTATAAAAGTTCTTTTAAAATAATGGAGTCATTGTGAGTCAAAGTGTTAATATATACATACCTTTCATATATGCTTTTTCTGGTTTTTTTAGTTTTGAAGGTTTCTGGCAGATCATGGTTTGTTGAAATGGCTGACACCACTGAGTCCAAAGTAAATAAAAAGTTATTTATGTGCCAGAGGACCCCTCTAACCTGATTAGCAGAAACATGGAGGAAACAAATCTCAGATTAACTCAATTTTTATTTCAGCTTTGTGGATTACCTTTAATGCCCTGTAAATCTGTATTCACACAGAATAATATAAATATGTGGTCCACACAATAAAGTCATTCTCTCTCTTAGGTAAAATAATTCCACTCACAGAAAAAATGCAGAGCACAACCTTTCTTATAAGATCTCTTGTCTCTTTATAGCCTTCTTTTCTTGTAAGATCTTATTTCTCTTTATAGCTTGCTAAAAACAAATAGCAATGCAACATTGAAAATCAATGTGTATAAAACATCTACAGGGTGTGTAAGATAAAAAAATAGGAATTAATCATACACAATAGTTAGGTAAAGAGAGGGAGTAAAGAACAAAAAGCAACCCTGAATTTGTACCATTTTTCTAGGACAACCCTATTGAAATTTATTGGAAACGCAGATTAACTGATACGGGCTATCTAGACACTTCAGCTCTTTGAAGGCACTGGAAACATGAAGTTTTAAGGAAAAATAAAATGCTATTATATTTTTATGAAAATTGCTGGAAAATAAGGCAATTTAAATTGTTAATGAACTCAAAACTAAAGAGCCAACAAAGCTAAAGAGCCAGAATGACAAGAGGATGTGCCAATGGATGGGACTTCCATTGAAATTTACCCAGAAGATTGAAAAAGCGTTTCCTATGTCTACGAAATAAATACTGAGGTCAGCCAAACGACAGAAAAATAATGTGCCATGTTACACTGAGGTGAAGAGGAGAAGAATCTCTGCCTGAGTCTTCTTTCTGAGTTTGTATGTTTATTAAACACATGCATGGGAACTGCACCACCCCCCCCCCACTTTAATCTGGATAGCTTTCATCAGTATAATGTAACCTTGCTGTGAATCAGTATCAATAAATCTTTCTGTTAGTAACACTTTGGAAAAAGAATGGGAAAAAAACATTGAATTTTTTAACCAGTGACCATCACCTGATGTTATAAAGAGGTGTTCATTTGGAGTCCACTTTAAGTACTTTAATATTAATTCAAAAACATTAGTAAACGTTTACTTGCCTAAAACCTTGTTCATCCTACACACCCTCCCTCAAACCTAGAGACAAAATAGTAAAACTCAAACTAAAATGAAAAATCATTTCAAAACTACTCATGTTTGCTTATCATATATCTTGAATTGTTAAAGTAGACGATAAGGGAAACAAACAGAGTCATTGTATTTTATTTTCTACTTAACAGGCAGGACAGGTTGTCAATCTTCATTTAGTTCCCAGGCAAAACAAATGGGGCTTAGCCCAACATGCAATAACCTCTGTTGCCACTGGATGGCAATGACAGCTTTTGTCTCCAAAATCCTCACTGTGCCCTCAATGCTGTTTAGTGCCACTGCTGTTGGCGTTGAGTTTCTCAGGACTTCAAAGAGTGAAAACACACTGAGTGATTCTCCAACAGTTCACCTTCCTTTTGGATCTCTTGCCTCTGACCCACCCCATCCTAACGCAGCCAACGACACTCCTTACTTGAAATAATTTTTTAGCAACTTTGCGACATTGAATAGAATGCCAAGTTTGCAAATGGTAAAAAAAGGAAGAGAAAAAAAGGAGGTGAGAGGGAAGTACAAATAGGAAACCAGATTCCCTTCTGTCACTAAATGGTGCTAAGCTTGAAGAGGGCCACAATTTCACAAATATATTTGTTATTTAATTGCTTTCTGCCATGTAGCAAAAATATCCCTGACCTTCTTAAGCATTTTAGGGTCTAAATTCCTTCTTCTTCTCATGACCCCCCGCACACACACACTCCAACATGGATACATGTTTCAAATAATTGTTTGTAGTGGGGAAAATTAACTGATGACAGTTTAATTTTTCAGAGTGAATTGGTTTTTGAATTGACGATGAGAAAAGAAAATACCTTGGAAAACATTTTTAGGTGTAGCTAGGCCAATAAAATATTTAGAAAAAAATGTTTGTACAGTTAAAATATGTAAATATCTGAATTTTCATCAATTCAAAGATTAATAATTATAAAGGCATGAAATATTATCATAGCTTGTAACAATGAATTAATTTGTTTTTCAGAAAAGGAAGGACTTAAGTGCGTTCACCTGAGTATGAGTCTTTGATGCTGAATAGGTTTGCTGGGTTATACGGACAGAAAAGCCCTCAGATTAGTATTTTGATGAGTGGACTAAGATGATTGTATTAGTGAAGTTAAAGAGGAATAAATTCTTTTATAAATATATGGAATGAATCAATGCAGATAAATTTAATTCCCCTTTTTTTCAGGGGATATACCTATTCCTTCCTGTTTATTCTTATTTTAGTTTATAAAAACCCTGTCTTATACCACCGTGCATGTCTTAGTAAACAAAGCTTAATAATTAAATGGTACAATTAGCTGACCTCTATAGGAAGTAACAATTTATTCACACTAAAGGAGTTTAATATGGTTTTACTTGCTTTTTCAAACTGCTTTTATACTTCTTTGATGGAAGTTGAAATGGTTAAAAATATTACAGAAGAGCAACTACAACCAAAAACCCCCCACTAGAATGGGGAATTCTTGCGCATACTGTAGTATAGTTTAAATGTAGCAAGCATCAGAAAAATAAGATTTTTTAAATATCAAATTTACAGTTGTTTTATTTTTATTTTTGCTAACAACACAGAAGCACTAGCTGAGTAAGAAAATATTATTCAATGGTAGGAGTAGGGATGTAAAAGGAAGATTAATCTCTGTTAAAATAAGGTCCTCTAATTTTGCATGAATAAATTTTGTTACTAAGTGGAGAGATACATTTTGTGTATATATTATAAGGATATATTTGTGGATCTGCAAAAAAACAAAACTAAAGATGGCTTCTCTATATTTGTCATTTGTTTGCTTCCCACAAGCAGTCCATATATACAGATAGGAGATGACAAAATCAATCAAGCACATTTGGGGAAAGAAATTCTTAAGAACCAGGAAAAGACAAGATTCTTTTTCACACTTCTGTTAGATTTTCACATAAAAGCATGGCACAATTCAGTAGCATTTGAAAATAATCTGAACAAATTTGTTCTTTGTTCTCAGATACCCAGACGATATAAAATCACTAGTTTTTAAAACTTATTTCTCTTTCATGACATAACAAGATCTGAACGAATAGAGTCGAAGTACATGGAATGTGTCTTAATTTTCCATTTATTTTAAAGTTGAAGCTGCATTGACTAAACATTGTGTGCATAAAGTAAGATACATTTGCAATATTTTAAATATTAAATTATAATCAAATTATCAAACAGATAATTCAAGCTAAAGTAATTCCCCTTTGGGACCAGAGATCTCTTTTTTCACTGTATATATTGATGTATCTATCAAAAATTTGAATAACATCCAAGTGTCCCACTTTTTGTATTTTTTATTCTGAGCCTTAAGTTTCAACTTCAATAACGTAGAGGAAATTTAGCCAAAGGCTTGCATAAGAATTTTAAGGAATAGGAAAGGGAAAGTGAAGTCATGACGAAATACATACTAGTATCTATTTGCCTTACACCTGAGGAGTAATTTTTAAACTTCTTAGATAAAAAGAATCTCTCCAGATTCCAATGGAAACAAATATTAGTGTTTTAGAAATACTGTAGGCAGGAATTTCTTCCTAATTTTTGAATATTGGTAGGACTCTAAAAGACAAAGAAAAAGTGAAGGATAATTTGAATTTGTGGGTATATACATGCATACACACATACACATATATGTGTATATACACATGTATGACTTCTGGGACCTTCTAGCTCAGAGCAGGGCTGTATGGTTTAATAGCTTGATGTTGGAAATGGAGAGATAATGCTATATGAAATGTATCTAAATTTTGCATGGGATGGTGTTTCCCTTTGCCCTGTATGTCTGCCAATTAATACACAACAATAAATGCCATTTGCATTTAAAATAAGTCATTTAAAGAGTAAAATATTAAAATGTGATGACTAAATGGGGAGTTTGTGGCTTGTCCACACACACCTCCACCTCCCCCCAGAAACAAGACAGTACAGAAAGATTTCCTTACGTCCTTAAAGGCTTTAAGAATGAAGGCAGTACTCACTTTGGCTTTGCATATGCTAAAATTGGAACCACATACAGAAGATTAGCATGGGCCCTGAGCAAGGATGACATGAACATTCATGATGTGACTCATATCTTTAAACATGATGCAATGAAAAGTCGGATTCTGTCACTAGCCTACAAAAGTTTTCAGAGATAAAAATGAAAGATGCCTCTTAAAACCAATCACATCTGTAAGTACATAGTTTTTCACCAAATGTGTACATTGTGATTATATGCACTCTTGTGCAGAAATAGTCTTGAGATCAATAACTTGAACTTATGATTGCATAAGTAAATGATAGATGATGATGATGATAGATAATCTAAGGTGTGAAGGAGAGACAAGGGGGAAAATTTTTATTAAATGAAAGGTGACCAAAAATTTTTTATTGGGAAAAAGATAGATTTTAGCCATATAGTAAAATTCTTAGATTTCTAACTCTAGATTACACTCAAATTTGGTATCTTTGTTATGCAAACTTGATAAAAGTATGGAAGTCATTGTTCATTTAAAGCATTACAATTCTATGAACTAGTTCCAAACAACTGAACTTTAAGTTTCATTTACAGTTCATCAATATTTCATTTTTCTACTTTCTACTGAAGAGGAAAAAGGGAAAGAATACTAACATTCACTGAACGCTCTCTGGTACCTGGTGCTAGATACTTTACGTATACGATTTATTTGGTTTTAGAGAGGTTCCTAAGCTACTGAAATCAAAATTATGACCATTTCACCATATGTCCAAATCACCATTGAAAATACAGCAAACGTTTGAATTAGAAACCAATTTTAGGAACTAAATATTTTGTAAAACAAAAATATATGTTGTTTACTGAAAAAAAGATGAATGCGGGCTCCGTTTCACCAAATCTTCTTATCCTGGGCTTGGTTTATGTTGTAATGGCTCTTGCTGCCAGCAAGGTAAGGTAATCGTACTGGACGATATTTGAGAAAAGTTCCTTAAGAACAGAAAGGAAAGTAGCTCCACATTCCAGGAGGTTGCATTTTTTAATTTTACAGGGTGCTTATGTGTTTTAGTATTAAATACATAAAAGTAAGAGTTCAAATTCTGATGCGATGAAATGATAAAAGCCAAGCAAATTCTTCAAGTATTTAATACTGGGAAAATTCTTTAACACATGGCTATTCATGTAGTGATTTTGTATTTTCCAGTCTATTTTCTCCTTCCCCAGTCTTCATGGTTCCCTAGACATTGCCAAAGGGAAATTTTCAGTCCACTGAAATGTACAGATTCCATAATTTGCCTCTGTTCTCTGCCTTCTTAATACTTATTTCACTTGGTTAATATTTGTTCTCAGCTATTTCCTCATTCTCTGTGCCTAGCCAGTCTTCCTGAAAGTCCACTTTCTCTATAGGTCTCCAAACGACATAAATAAAAATGGTTTTAACTAAGGTCATTAAAAGGTTCACAGAAATTCTGTCATGATTTTAAGAATAGTCAACAAGTCAGACAGGAGTGCCGATAGAAAAGAGCTGCCAAGTGGAAAACCCAGGTTCTTGACTCCATTTTCTTCTATCGCTTGTAAGTTAATACTCACTGATAAAATACTAAAATGCCAGGAAGCACATCAAGCAACTGAGACAATGGAATGAACTGCCAGAACACTGACAACAGAATAGCCGCAAATACGGGTGTTGTGTGAAATCACGATGTGTGCCTAATTTTGTCTTCAATCTGGGTTCTTGGGCATAAATTGATTAAATGATACTAAAATACAAAAAAAAAATAAGAAAAACAAGAACTCCAGATACTTCTTAACTTGTAGACGAATTTATAGACTCTAAGTAGAAATAACTCTATTTAACGACTTTTAGATAGACAGTTTCAGATTCTGTATTTTAAACACACAAACAATATTTTGTCAATATAGTGGGGATAGTAACAAGCAATAGAAAGGAAGAAATTAAGAAAAGTTTATAGAGTGAGAATGAAATCTGGTTTTATGAAAAGCTTAATCTATTAAAACTTTAGAGTAGGTTGAATCTGTTCTTTTTGGGTGGCGTTTTCCTTTAATTATTTATTTCTTACTGTTTACCTTCAGATAACATTTAAGCCTCGTATATGATCACATCCTAACTTTATGTCTGCAAGGGTTAAACATATTGCTGTAGCTAAATACTATATTGTTGGTATTTAGCCTATTATATAGAATGACAAGCTCAAGATTGTACCAATGTTTCCTTTGTGTTGACCTTAGGGTAACCATCAATTCTTTTGAATTACCTTAATTTTAAGTGAATATATCCCTATTTTTCCTACCATCCTTCATGTCTAGTATATTAATTTTACAATTAAAATAGATTAATCCAGACTAATATTTTTCTTAATTAGGCAGAAAATTTAATAATGTCATCATACCTAAGGTGATCAAGGATGCTTGAATTAGCCATATATGTATGAAAAGGTATCCAAGAAAGCCGTATTGGAGGTTTCAAAACCTAGATCATGTTACAAGCAGAGTTAGCATTAGGGATCCACTAATCTAGTTTTGGTCACAGTCTCTCTTCCTTTGAGATGCATTTTGTTTTTGGACATTGCGATGCACTTTTGAAAATCTGCCTCATATTATAGTTATTTCTGCAAGTTCACATCCCACATTTCCATATCATACCATGAAACCCTAACAAGAACTTTCTTAGGGTATAATATCCATCTGTTTTCAGTGTTGTATTTCCTAGTTTCTAATACAGTGTCTCGTGTATATATATTCAGCATGCAACAATTACTTATTGAGTGCTTACTAAAAGTCAGGCACTATGCTAAGCCAAGGAGATATACACAAGAACAACACAGAAAAAACTTTTCCTTACATGCATATGATATAATACCCATATAACGGGTTAAGCACTCAGACTGTGTAGTCAGACCTGAGTTCAAATCCTGCCTCTACTCCAAAAAATTATATTGTCATGTAACTTATTTCTGTTTATTCATCTGTAAGAAGATGAATAGCACTTTCCTAAGAGGTTTGTTGCAAATGCCAAATCAAATTATTAAAGTAAGTCTCTAAATATGGTGCCGGGATATATGAAGCTTGTCATAATGGAAGTTATATCTCATTTCCTATGTGTTAAATTCTTTGCGTCATTTTTTTCTTCAATGCCATTATCACACTGTTATGACTGCATGTTTAAGCAGGGATGAAGCATGGCCATTAGGTAATATATTTTTGGCATGTCATTGTCATATTAATGAAAAGTATACCACATAGATACTTACTGGTTTTGGTAAGAGAAACTTTTATAAGTTTCTTCCTGAGGAACACTTCAATATTTAACTTTGCACTTTGGGAATTTTGCTGTGTTCATGCTTAAAAGCTCTGAGACTGCTCCAAGAACAGAAATATTGTCATTTATATTTTCGTCTTTTTAAAAATATTCTTATTTTATGAATTTTAATCCTTATTTTACCTAAAATTCCTAGTAAAGTGTAAGATAAGGATCAAATCTAAGAATTATTTTCCAAGAAGCCAATTATCCCAAAATTATTTGATGAATGTTACATCTGCTCATATAAAGTTCATAATATATTCATGATCATACAGTGAAGTTTATATCTACTAGGAATAAGAATCATGTTGTTACTCATGTTATTCAAGGTATTACTTATGTTATTAGTCTATATACAGATATTATTTCTTTCAATATGAGCATCTCTTTTTTTTGTTAAGCAAATATGTTTGAAACTAATATCAATATATAACACAGTAATTTCAGATTCAAATACCTTATTCTTTAATTTTTGACTGTTATTCATCTTCACCCTGCTAATGTGCCTCCTTAAGTAAAAATTTCAAGGAATGTATCCATGAGCAGTTTGTGCTCTGAATCCTGCAGATCTAAGCATGGAAGTCACTCTGTTATACCAGAACATTAACTACGTTGTGCTTGGTCAAAACATTCTTGGGCCACAGTATTTTTCTCTCAAATTTAGCTCTTATTGTTACATTGTATTCTGACTCTGAGTTAAATAGAATCTGAAACCAGAGTGACTTTTTTGTTACTTTTTGCACAAATAGTTGTGGAATTTTTTCTCTAAACTTGAAATTCAAAAACGTTGCCAAGTTTATTCCAAGTCACTTTATTTTTGTGTGTTTTTGTGTGGGATTTAGTGGACCTTTTTCAGTTGTATTCTCAGGTAATGTCTCTTTATGTTTTGTTTATTTTTGCTAATAGAAAGTATTCACTTTTAATGAATATTTGTTTAGATTCATTTCCAATGGATGCCAATTACTTAAATATTTTATTTTTGTTTTCTCTGCTCTATGGTATCTATTATTATTATTATGTTTTTCTTTATTTTTAGAAAGCTGTCATCTTTATTAGTGATTTCATTTTCTACAATGTCAATTATGTTTTTTATTACAGCTGAAGCCAACTTTAATTTTTCCACTGTGATATCTCTCTCATTTTCTTTTTATTTCTTTGCCAGAGACATTCACAGTTCAACATTCTCCCTATTCTCCTATTTTTCCCGTTTTACATTTATTTGACATATTTATGACAAATACTTTTTTCTTAAGTGAAATCTGCATTCTTTGGCTCAAGGTCAATCTTGTTGTTGTTTTTTTTTATCCTTGAATGAGATAAAATCTAACACTGTTGATATTTGCAAAGGACATTATTCCTTTGATGGATATCACTTTCTATCTTAGTGTTTCCAGGATCTCACAATCATTTTATCTGCCCTCTCCAGTGATATGTATCTTCCCTAGCCAAATTCCAGGATCAAGCAAACATTTAAATAGCTTGGTTCCACAAAAGTTAGGCAGAATGTTATCCTGTGTCTCTTGTCTTTTATTCTGAATACTAGGAAATAAATTAGTTCCTAGAAAATTTAAAACATTCTGTAAATTCTCAGAATGTATTCTCTTCAGGATTTTGCAGTAATCTACTAATTTCTGTCTCCTCCTTTATGTTTAAGAATGCAATGCTCTTTAAACCCATCAATTTTCAGTCTTGTACAAGGGAAAGTTGTGGACTTCCATAGAGCAGAGATAGATGGTGACAAGGTGTGGGAAATAAGGTGAGGGAAATGTAGTCCTGATCGACTCTGAAATAAGAACTAAGAG